CCCCCCCATTCCATTTTTGTCCGTTTTACTCTGTATGAGTGTCTCTCTTCTTTCGGATTTTTGTGTTTGCGTGTGTCTCTGTGAGTGTACCAGGGCCGGTAATTCTTTGAAGCCGGTTCTAACCAACTTCTTAATATCATCTTCACACCTTGTTATTAAAACGTTTGTTTTCCAGGTAAAAGTGACATCTCTCAAACTCTCGGACCCGTCTTCGAAAGAAAAACCCCCGGAAGCTGTGACGTCATCCCCACTTCACCATGACAACAACAGCCCGGCGGGGAACCTGGAGCAGCTCATGATCAACGCCACGAGCCCGGGTTTGGGCGCCACTGACACGAGCGGTCAGCCAACTGCCCGCCACGGAACGATCAAGGAGGAAGTAGACCCGGTCAGCATCACGCCCCGAGAAGCCGTCGCCGCCTCCCTGGACGCCTACCATCGCCATCAACGGGGACGAGAGTCAGAGGAGAACTTAAATTTCGGCAAAATCTCCGTGGAAAAACTGCACCAGAATAAGAAGAAGCGACAGAAGCAAACGGTGAAAACGACGCTGGTTCGAGTGGATTTGGCTACGGTTGATCAATACAATAACAACAACAATAACAGGCCCCAACGGAAGGGCCTCCTGCATCCCATGAAATACCGACAGCCCCAGCAGAATGGACATAGTTCTGTTTCCGGTCATGCGCTGGCGGGCCACGAACCCGATAGCAATCACGCTCCGGGTCAAGGAGAGCAGGTTACACTTAAGGAAGGTCAAGGTCATAACCCTGAAGATGGTCACGAGACGGCGGGAGGGGAGGAGACGTCATGGCCGGCTGGATCAGCTTTGGACGCCCCTGCTGGAGCTGCTGGTGGTGGTGGGGTAGACAAAGCGTCCAGTAAAGCCGCCTCTACAACCGCGGGCGTGGCCACCATTTTGTTTGACCCTCCAACAGCCGCGAGAACCATGACCCACTGCTCTCTCCTCGAACCCATGGCCTCCACGTTCGTGTACGGCCCCTCTACCATCGGGCCGGTGGAAGAGAGCGGTGATGAGAGGTCAGTCATTATTCAGAACACACACCCAACGCCTGAGGGGTCCCTCGCTGGGAATGTTTCTCAAAAGGGAGGAGGATTAGGAGGGGGTGTGGTTAACGGAAACCCCTCCCAGCAACCCATTAAGACTCACCATCTGGAAGTGTTCAGCGAAAGAAAGGAATCCTTGAAGCCAATCAAAATCCCGACAGGTCGGACTACGTACCACCCTGGAATGCCAGCTTATAGGTGAGGAGTGAACCTGCTTTCGTCTGTCTGTCTGTCTGCCAGCTTGGATGAGTTGAGCGATGTTTTTATCCGTTGTCTGTCTGGGGGTGTCATCTATGACTCAGAGGCTGACGTGTAATGACCCTCCTTCCTTCACGGCGTGAGCTGCCTTTGCACGACATTCTGCCATATGATCGCTTTTAAATCCCGAAAAATGCTGTTTTGAGAAATTCGAAGTTAAAGTTTCTGGGTCCTTATTCAGTCCCTTTAAAAGGCAAAGAGAGTTTTCTTTATAACCAAACAAATATACACACCAATGAAACCAACTTCTCCGATTGT